ATGAGGGAGAAGACGTGATGGACGGGGTGAGAAGGTTCACATCCTGTGAGATTACGACTGTCTTCATTGATTAAACAAAGCATAAACAATTTAAAGTGTCAGAGCGTTTTACCATAACAAGTCAGATCTGTGTGTGTGTGTGTGTGTGTGGGTCCGGCCCGGTGCCTGACACACATCTACCCTTGTTAGGACACTGCTGTGGATTCCAGTCATCGTGCTCAGTCCAACTGTCTGCTGAACAGTTTACGTCTTCACTCCGACCTCGTTTGTTCACCGCTCGCTGTCAGGTCATTTCATTTTCACCACAGATGTCCAACTTTAGTCAAGGTGGAGGTGTCAAAACAGCCCAAGGTTGAGGGCTTCGATGACATCAGCTCACGGACAACAGATGGACAGAGCACCGATAGCTAACAGTTAGCTCAACGTGTGGACTACAGATAAGAACGGTAAATAAATGACCTCAGGACGTATTTTAATGAAACCAAAAAGTAAATATGACCTGTCAGGGTCGACGATGAACCGTCGCTGCTGCAGCGGTGATGCCCAAACTTAGTCAGAGGAGGGCAGCGCTGGTTCTAAATTCTCCCATCATGCACCTCTGTCTCAGTGCGTCTTCTCACTCCTCACAGCAACGCAGTCCTTTCAGGTCACCAGGACCGTGTTTGAAGTCTGATCTCAGTGATGTATGAGGACGGCTGCGTTTGTTGATGTTAAAGGTGGGAATTTATTGAACAGGAACCTGTTAGAGAATCCAATATATAACGCTACATGTCAGCGTTAATGGACGAAAAGAAAGGAAAAGAAGAAAAAGAAAAAAAAAAAAACAGCGATAGCAAGAAAGTCTTTGTGTTTTTTCAGCTGTTTCAGATCTAGATTTTTACATCAACTTAAATATTTTTTTCTCTCAGATTTAAAGGAAACTTCCTTTTAAGGCAGAAAATCCAGTCGGAAAAATCTCAGATCTCAAGTAATTTATAACAAAATGATAATGTATTTATAATGTATTTTTATTAATCCTAATAATTGTATTAAAATGTGAATTTTAATAAGTGTTTGTTGTTGGCAAGAACTCAACTAATGGTCAACTGTGGACAATCAACTGTGGACGGTCAATTGTTGACGGTCAACTGTGGACGGTCAACTGTGGATGATCGACTGAGGACGATTGTGGACGTCAATTGTGGTTGGTCAACTGTGGATGGTCAATTGTGGACGGTCAACTGTAGACGGTCAATTGTAGACGGTCAATTGTGGACAATTAACTGTGGACAATCAACTGTGGACGGTCAATTGTGGTTGGTCAACTGTGGACGGTCAATTGTGGACGGTCAACTGAGGACGATCAACTGTGGCTCATCCCTCGTCCTCCCTCACACTCACAGGATGGAAATGATTCCCAGAGCCTAAC